AAATAAAACATTTACTACATGTTGATAAAAGTCTCAACTTGGTGGACCTTACAATGTGTCAATATACATACCAACAAATTTCGTCTATTACCATTCTTCCAGTAGATTACAAATATACTAAAGTGTAGTTTAAATAAAAACAGTTACTCGCCATGTTGATAAAAGTCTCAACCTGATGTACACTCCAATATGTCAATCTATACATAAGCAAATTTCGTCCAATACCAATCTTCCAGCAGATTGTGTTGATTTGAAGCAGATTTAACAGTACCAAAGTGTATCTGAACCGCAAGAATTTATTCGGGAATAAAACCAAAACTAAATATCGGATCAACCCAACGAAACAATCGACGAAGCAGGAATTTTATTTTTTCTTTCTACACTAAAAAAGTACGGACTAACACGCAGGAATTTAATATGCAAATGTATCTTTTTCACCTGTCATCGCTGTCCTTTCTCTTCGAAAACTTTACAGTTTTCTTTAACTTGCGATTCAATCTATTCTACATCCGCTTGCGTGCAGGACAGCCGCTTCTGAATTTTTAATCCCAACAAATCTACAACTGCAATTTCAACGTTCGCTCTTTCTTCCCAGCGAACTTACGATCGCGATATATTATTTAAAATATTTGTACGGAGCCACGCGAGTGCGAAACACCGCCACTAGAGTATCTCTTATGTCAGCTTTTCGCCATACTCGCAAAGTGTTCAGTCCATCATAGACCGTTGTCTTAGCAGTATACTGAAACTGGCTGATGCTACGGAAATTTACAACGACTAACAGTACTCCACGCAATTTCGAAAAAAGAAAAATAAGAAAGATTTAGAGAAATATAAAAAGGAAATGGATGCAGGAATGAAGTCACCCTGTACGATTAGCACGTCCGTTAAGTATGGTCTTCATTTTGCTGGCATTTGGCCTGGCACGCCTTTTCCAGGTGTACACAAATTCTTTTGGGTGACGTTTATGCTCATATTTCAAACGTATCAGTACAAATACGTTATCGCGCATTTAAAAATCGACACGCTGTTGGAAACGATAGATAATCTGAGCATCGCAATGCCGTTCAGTTTGGTGTGCATCAAGTTAATAGTCGCTTGGACCAATCATGGGTAAGTGGTACTTTGGGAATTATTAGGTTGTCCCAAAAGTTTCGTCCGTGACTTACACTCGGTTATTTTGTGTGGTAGTGTTTACAGTGGGTGTAGAAAGTATTCGTACACCGATCAATTTCCAAACAAACTATGTAAAATTGTAATTTATTAACTTATTTTTTTTATAAACAATGACATTCTACATTCTATTCTTGGAAATCTCTAGAATAGATAGATTACAAAAAAAGATAGCTATTTATGTCAGTTGCGAAATTAACAAGAACAAAAACAATTAATCGATAGAAGTGTTGAAGCAATAAGTATTTGCACAACTGTTTAATATTTAAAACTTCATTAAAAAAAAAAACGGAAATTTACATTAATTCACAAGTATATGATACTTCTTTCGTGGGATTTCCTTTTGATTTTATAATAATTGCAACTCTTCTAAGCGTTAAAGTAACTAAATTATTAGTTATTCGAAGTGGAATCTTCTATCTTTTTCCATTCCTCTATTAGAGCCATTTTTAAAAGTACTTTACTGGAAATTTAATTTTTTCTAATTCGTACCGTGCAATAAACTAATGTGTTTACGTTAGAAACTCTACTGTAAATGGTTGGTCATAAGAATCGTACAAATACTTATTGCTTCTATACTTTCACCCACTTTTCGCATTTTTTTTGTTAATTTCACAAATTATATTATAATTATATTAATAATATTTATAGTTATAAATAGTAATAGACAAGTTAAGATTATAAATAAGTTAGCAATAATAATTATATATATTTATATAATAATATATTTATATTAACTAGTAAATGTTGTTTGGACTATATCTACCTTAGAGACTTCCGAGAATATGTAAAATATCATTGATTATAAAAAAAGAAGTTAAGAAACTACAATTTCACACAAAAGTTTTTTGGGAAATTGATCGGTGTACGAATACATTCTACACCCACTGTATACAGGGTGTCCCAAAACTCGCGGAGGAGCCGGAAATGGGGGATAGCTGAGACGATTCTGAACAACAATTTCCTTTGCAAAAATGTTGGATGGGGCTTCGTTAAGGAGATATTAAGCGAAAACCCCGACCAATCAGAGCGCGCGTAGACCGTTCGAGCGGCCGCGGTAGCGAAGGCTACGCGCTGGCGGCCGCGCTTGTACGCGAACAAGTGACTCGACGTGCATCGAAGGACATTGACGCTGCCGCCTAGCGCGTAGCCTACGCTACCGCGGCCGTTCCAACGGTCTACGCGCGCTCTGATTGGTCGGGGTTTTCGCTTAATATCTCCTTAACGAAGCCCCATCCGACATTTTTGCAAAGGAAATTGTTGTTCAGAATCGTCTCAGCTACCTCCCATTTCCGGCTCCTCCCCGAGTTTTTGGACACCCTGTATAAATACATTAAATAGACAACTTAATTTCTTAGATGTTAATGTTGTAACATTAATGGAGTAAAATGAATGGTACAAAATTCAAAATACTGTAACATTAGACAAAATATTGTGTATGTATTGCCATTTAAGGAAATGGAAGAAACTTTTGGAACAACTTGATACTTTGTCTATGAAATTGGATTTCAGCGTGGACATTTTCTTTCTGGAAATTGTTCTTAATAATTATTGTAAGCAGGGAAAGTGTGGTCGGATGTCGAACGGGCTGTAAAACTATATTTTCGTTTAATTGACTTGTTGGAAAGTTGACGTGTCTATTCATTGTTAAGAGAATTGAGCAATCGAAAAAAAATCGATTATTTTTTTAATTTGCATTTTTCAAAAGTAATGTCCTTTCTGAATAAAAAACGATTTGATTTATATGGAAACTCGCAACATTGTCGGTTTAGCTTAGGTCAGTTTAGATTATCGTTTTCATCCAGAAAAAGTAGATAGTAGGTGCTTTTGGCAAAAAACAAATGCTGAAAATAATGTAGTCACCTATAAACACAAACTTGCCGCCACCGTAGATGTAAACATAGAATTTGTGTTTATTGTAATATGATATTATAGAACTTCAGAATATACCGAGTAATGTACCGATGTATATACAATTAAATTTATATACAATACATATAATATAATACAATTATATATAATACAATACAATTAAATTAATCTATTCTTCTAGCAGATTATAAGTGTGCTAAAGTGTAGATTACATAGAAACATTTACTCGACATTGTGTTTCCACAATTACGTACGAGTTCTTGGAATGTGTGACTAAGAAAAGACTTGCACAGTTTTTCTTTACAAATAAACATTAAATATATTTTAAAAAGGCACAGAATTAATTTCTACAAATAATATAATAATGAAATGATTTTTTATATAATTACTATGCCATGCAATTGTCAAATAATTAATCAATTAATTACGTATATTCAAATTCATTTTCTGCCATAATTAGTATCGAACATTTCTCTATGTATTATTTTATTCTGAAAATAAATGTTTAAAATAATAATATCTTGTAGGGTGCTTACTGAAATTTTATCAACAATGAAAGAGGACTGTCGGAAGTACGCTGTGATCGATAAAAATAATTTTATACCAAAAACAGCGCAGCTCTCTTATCGTTTAACAAGTCTAATTATGTCTGTCTACGTGTCGTCCGTGGTTTTTTACGCAGCTGGTGCATTTGCATCTAAACCGAGCAATGATTCCATGCCTCGAGAGCTTCTTCTCAAGATGGACTTACCCTTCGAGACCAGGGATTCCCCCATTTACGAGGTCGTCGTGACTACACAGTTCCTCCACCAAATGACGTCTGCATTCACGTTTGGTGTCTTCAGCGCCATGCTGCTAATGATGGTAACTATAATCAAGTTAAGTTGAGGACACTTATCTCACGATTTAAGATAAATTTTGAATATTAAATTTGAATATAAAGAATATAGAATATAAAAATTTATAGAATATAAAGAATATAGAATATAAAGAATATAGAATATAAAGA